AGCGGTTTATATTACGATTCTGTTGGACAAATGTCTCTTTTGTGGTATGAGATCGAGGTGGGAAGGAGCGGGAGGAGTCAGAAAGTGTCGTGGGATATCGGCAGTGGACAAAAAACTTTGAAAGCTTCTGAGTAGCGGACTAAGGTCTTATTTCTGTATCCTGGCTTAGGCAGACAAGGTTAAAGTTTACAGAGCCTTCCCAGAGCTGTGCACTCCCCAACTCTTCCAGGGGATTTTCTCTGTAATGAGGAGAGGTCAATTCTTTAATCTGTACATTTCACAAATAAAGACTACACTGTTGGAAATTCATGACTTCTGTGAGATAAGGGGCGTGTTCTCAAAGTGGGCGGGATTTTTTGAGCTATGTATGCTTTATAGAAGCTTTTTTTATTTACAAAGGCGCTTATTGAGTTGCATAGCTGTTTCGAAGTTTGACTGGAGGAATATGAATGTACCAATTCATTTGACTGGTTACGATCACACTGATAGATGTTCCTCAGCATTCTAGCTAATTGGCCTATTTTAAGTTGCGTAGTGCCACTACGAATATGCGTTCACTCTAGTGGTAGAGGGCGTGCCCACCGCTCATGGACAGTGAATAAGCTCTGTCAGGAGCAATTCGCAATTTATGTATCCGTTATCTAGGTCCACTATAAAGTTCTTTTTTTTATCTTTCTTCATTATAGGCAGCCATAGATGCCGATCCTGAGAAACGGATAGTGATATCTGATCGTGTTGGGGTGAAAGCTATTATCAGTGGCAATAATCAGAGGGATTCACGGGTGCTGATCGGACTCAATGACGAGAATCCAGCGTGAGTTTTAGTTCCAAATTGACAAAAACCACTTCTTATTCAATCTGGAATCGCGCCTAGGGCACAAATCTTCTATTAGCTTTAAATAGGTGAACTAGCAAGTTCCAAATTACATAATTCAGCTACCACAATGTGTACTCGTTCGATTTACTGACCGATTCAATGACCCTGATTCTGAAGAACAGTCGATTTCCAATGATTGTTGTCGATAATGCCTTGAATATACGTCTGGTCGGTGAACAACAGCAGGATGGATCACTGATGTACTTCAAGTAAGTTATCCGTCAAGGGGGCTCGAAAAGTTACTCGGGTTGGTAGGCAGAAAAATGTGAAATCTGTGTGTCATTAAAACTGAGGAAACGATATGAACCGGGCGGCGCTGAATTTCATTGGAAATGATGATTCCGGTTCCTCCCCCTTCCCCTCCCCAGTTATCTTCAAAGGCTTAACAATATGGGTTATTCGAGACTGGATACATATTTCCATTTCATTGCGGAGATTATACTGAAAATTTTGTCCATGGGACAGAACAGGGACACGGGGGCGTGGCTAAAACCCATGAAGACAAAACCTGTTAGAACCCACTTTTTCAATATCTTGACGTGTCATCACATAGTAAGAATGGAAAACTACGCCATCATGGCTATCTATGAGTTCGAATCGGATGGATAGCTTTAGTGAGCACCATTCTAGGGACATGAGGATTACAGTAAGATCTGTAAGTGCTGACGCACTTTGAAAAAAGTTTCTGCTTGTAAGATGGGAAAGCATAACGAGACTGTTTATGGGCTGCGCAGCGAGCAAAATCCATTTCAACAAGCTTTTCCAGGCCTTCTGCGAAAGCGAATCCGGTATCATTGACGTCCGATCATGCAGAATGGGATGAATATCTACTGGTCCAACCTGATGATTTGGCAATCACCTCGTAAGTTGGGCTAGGACGATTGTATTGTCCATAGACAATAGAAAAAAGTTAATTAAGGCCAGTAGCTTTCGATAAGTCCAACCAGAACATGTACTGGCTGTGGGGTGATGAGCACAGTGACCTAGGTAAGCCAGTGCAGTTGAAGAGCTCCTTTTATGGGCACTTGATCATGTGTTGAAAACAAACTGTTCAGGATCTCTGGTTATGTTCCCATTTGATGCCGTTGATCAAAAGGAAGTACTCTATAGCGCTACACGTGCACAAATCGGTACCATCTTGATCCATCCCACTGATAAGACTCTGTTGGCCGTCACAGAGGTAGGCAAGGAGTTAGTATTGAGTCCAAGACATAGTTGGAAGCCATTATTAATACTGGTATGTCTAGGTTTACCACAAACCTGAACTGTTCGTCGCTAATGACACGGTTATGGACGATCTACAGTATCTGGTCAATCTGCGTCCATATGGATCCCTCCAGATTCTTTCTATGAGCCTAGGTACGGTACTCTTCTACTTTTTTAGTCATTTCTGATTTGTTTCAATTAATTATTTCTACAAATGTATTTAGATATGACAACATGGCTAGTCACCTATCTGTCGTCGGACAAACCTCATGAAGTCTTCCTATACCGTAGCTGGCTGAAAACGGTACGGTACAGTTTGTTTTCTGCTACGGGTCTTGAATGGATGGCGATGGGTTGAAGCGAGTAGGTCAGAGTCTAGCCTATCCAGTTGGGTCCGCCATGAAAAACCATGGCGGGCCCAACTGGTAGGCTTCCTTCTGGATTAGACGTCAAAAGGATCACAAACGGGGATGGCGAGATGGCATAGGTGGCCTCCTCATGTTATAATGATTTATTCAGGTATTTATATGTGAAAAAGGTGGTAAAAGGAGCTTTTACCTTACAAAGACATTACAGAAAGCGATGGAAGGTTGAATCGGCGTAAGGAACAGTCCTAGGCGGTTTTGGAAGATAATAGAAGGATCGATACGTTGAGGGTTAACATAAGAGTAATAATCGAAAAAGTTACTGTATTTGTAAGAGAGAGAGAGGTGATACAACAGTGGATAGAAGTAGGTTCGAAGTGATAGAATGCGATAATAGCTGGTGATAGTAAGTGATCATAGGCAATAATTACCGATATAAACTTTACCTCAGCAGTGCATGTCACCCGTCTAGGAGAGACTGAACCTTTCATCCGAGAACAACTTGTTCGTTTGTCTCTTAGTACTACATTTCCATTTCAGGCCGAATTCCTGTTTAACACCCATCCGGAACTGGAAAAGTATAAACTGAATCGCCAAGTCGGTTTTGATTTCAAGACGAGAGACGACATGGTTCTGCAAGCGTATCTCAGTCTGCCACCTGAGGTATGTAGGTCCTAGAAAGTATTGGCATCATAAGGTAATGGGTAGTTCATTAGTACAAGCCGAGTGATCTCTTTGCAGGTTGCTCTCCGAACTGTCAACGAAGTCCCGGCTGCTGATCGTACTTACGCTGAACTGGGAATGCTCCCAGTCGAACCTCAGAAGCTAGTCGTCCTTGTTCATGGTGGTCCAAAAGCCAGAGATCACTATGGTTACTCATCATTGAATGTTTTCTTGACGAACAGAGGCTATGCAGTACTTCAGGTAGGGTGCTACCCAAGTAGCTGACTTGGAAGTGTTATCAATCGGTAATCAAGGCTCCTTGACTTCAGGTCAACTTCCGTGGAAGTGTCGGATTCGGCAAGCGCCTTACAAATGCCGGAGACGGTGAATGGGGCCGAAAGATGCACTTCGATATTTTGGACGCAGTGGAATTCGCTGTGGCGAAAGGCATCACCAACAAATCTCAGGTTGCTATCATGGGTAAGCACTCAGTCATATGACTATATACTGAAGAATAAACTTGGCGCTTTCCTTTGATATACTCTCGTTTTTGATAGTTGCCTCAGAATGGCCTTTCCTGAGACAATTGCCATCTACCATACCAGGTCTCGTTCATGCATTCATATGGATAACTCTTGAATTTCTACCTAAACCTACATCTTCTGCTCCTTAGAGAATTTATGCTCCACTTTCGCCTTCTATAGACCCAACAATTTGTGTAGTAACGTTTGCTATAACCATATGCCACATAGGTTTGCATAGTAACATGAGATTTAATTTCCTTGTGATGTTGCATGCCGTCGATTATTGCTGCTGTTCGGTGTCGTTCACTATAACTTCTTTTTTCTCGAAATTCAGTTCACGAAATTGCCTGAAACGAAATCAATTTGTATCACTGACGCATGAGTTGTGTTCACACTTCCAACGCGGGCGCTGCAGAACTATGAATGCAACCACGAAGATAGGGATAGTCAATCACATTCTTGTATACCATAGCTTTGAATAACATAATATTGCTTGATGTCTCTTATCCCCACCCACTGTCGCAAGTTTCGGCGAGGTATACCTGGTCGCCACCTGATGTGGCTCTCTCCCTGGTGCCCGGTCTCTCCCTTTTCCCTCTTCTGGTGATTAGGAGCGCTCCCCTATCTATTCGTTCCATATAAGAACCATTTGCCTCGTGAAGTTATTCTAGGTAGTCAACTGACGCACTCACTAGTTTAATATCGTGTAGTATCATCATTTAATAATTATATTCTAGGAGGAAGCTATGGTGGCTATGAAACGCTGGCTGCACTGTCGTTTACTCCGGACGAGTTCGCATGTGGTGTGGATATAGTTGGTCCATCGAATCTGGTCACCTTGCTTGAGGCGGTACCACCATACTGGCGTGGCTTCTATAAAGATCTCGTCCGAATGGTTGGAGGCGATATCGACACGTAAGTCTCTCTTGGAAAGTGTGTTTCATATGTAGTTAGACGACCGTATTAGTTGCTGTTGTTTTTAGTGAGGAAGGTCGTCAATCGCTAACCGCTCGTTCGCCGCTGCATTTCGCTGATCGTGTGAAAAAGCCCCTGATGATTCTCCAAGGAGCAAATGATCCCCGCGTGAAGCAACAGGAATCTGGTGAGTTCCTTTTATGAGTTGCTCAAATTGCTTTTATTTTCAAAAGTAATTGTCAGAACGAAGTTGTATGGAGATAGTGAATAATTTCTATTCTGGAATAACAGTAAATAACTGATACTTCTTGGATACAGTGACAAGATTTGTGAAGATAACGCTATTAACAATTAAAAGAATCGATAAAATATCATAAAATCAACTTTTTTAGACCAGTTCGTAGCCGCACTGAAGAAGAACAACATCCCTGTAAGTTACGTCCTCTATCCAGACGAGGGACATGGCTTTAGAAAGGTTAGTAATTATAGTTGCTATTAGTAAGTAGCCTTACTATCAAGAACGTGGTCAACTAAATTTCTTTTTTTTTTGCGAAGTTTCCTTCAAGCCATATTCTAGACTTTCTATCGTATATTCTTTACTCCTGGACTTCCAACTTTCTTTTTCATTTTTCTTAATTTGCCAGAACCAAGCGGACACTCTTACATCTTTTTTCCCAATAGAGCATTCTGGGACCTTTGGAAAACAGTGTTACTAAATTTTTTTAACAATTAAAAAATGGAGTTTTTGACCCTGATTTCCCAAAAGTTCCCCCTTTATCCTCCACTCGGATTCATACTGGTACATAAAGAGGGTGGGCGGTGCTATGTTTGACCTATACATTGACATATGTGGCTGTCAACTTTTGCCAACATCAGGACTTTTATCCTCTTATGCGACTTTGATAGCATTCAATCGGCCTGAAATGGTGGAAACCCGGTTGCCCTTAGCGGTTATCGATCTAGAATATGATTCTCGAATTTTAGCCACTCGGCACTGCACATCTATGCCTCCTATTGTTATGGCATTATCTTATTTTTGGATTTTAGGCTTTCTTTTGCTTCCATCCGTCCAATTTT